AGATGCATTCTTCGTACATAAATGGATATACACTGATTGAATTCTTACAAGAAAATAAGATTCGTTATATTTATACTAATGTCAAATGAACTTCTCGTTTAATTAATTCATGTTTTATAATCATTATTTATAAAACATCGTAATAGCTGACTAAGTTGAAGGTTTTTTTTAATGAGAACAACTCATTATTTTTTCTATACTCTTAATCTATGTTGAACAGGCATTATTTTTTAGAACAATTAGGATTGTATTATTATGTTTATTTCTAGGGATAACTGATTCAACTGATCTATGGGAATTAGAAAAAGCTAGTAATCCAAAAGATATATCATCACGACGTGTTAAACGTTGGGGTTTTTCAATACATGAATTACTTAAAGATCCAATTGGTCGTGATTATTTTTGGAAATTTCTTGATAAAGAATATTCAAGTGAAAATCTACGTTTCTATGAAGCATGTATACAATTACGTTTTCACACTCCACAAAAAGATGTGCTTAATCGAGTTAAAGAAATTTATAATGAGTTTCTTTCACCAGGTAACACAAAAGAATAAAATTTGTCATATTAACTTATTTTTTGACTCTATTAGGTGCTTATTATTCAATAAATATTGATCAACGTGTCATGAATTTAACAAAACATAATATGGCTCATCTTCCTAATAGATATACATTTGACGAAGCTCAGGTTTGATCTTTAATTTACATTAATAAAATATTATTTTTTGTTTCTCATTAGGATCACATCTTTAATTTAATGAATCGTGATACATATGCTCGATTCTTACGTTCCGAAGCATATAAAGAATTATTACTAGGTGGAAAAAAGAAAGTAAGTAATGTGTTTAATAATAAACATATTTAGAAAATACGTCAAACTTTTCTTTTTGGTCAAACATATGTAAATATACATATAATATACAAGATTATATACTGGCAATAAAAATCAATGTAATACTGATGATAATTGTTTTTCTTTCTTTCTTTTTTTCAATGTATGCAACTGCTGTGGGGTTTTTGACTGATTTTCTTTTTCTTTTGTTTTGTTTGTTGTTATTATTATTTTGATTTTAGCTATCCAAAAAATACTGATGTAGACTATCGAGCGAATGCACTTGTAATAAAGCATATATATATATTTATACATATATATTTAATCTATCATTTTACTCTCTGCCTGTTTCATCTTAATCTTTCCCTTTTGCACATAAACACATTAGGACAATTATTTACTCATTAAGAAAAGACACTGATAGATAGATACTAGTTGTTGTTTGATACCTCAAAACCTTCATTTATTACATACACATAAATACACATATATACATATATATATATTATATCTACTCTCTATTTTTATGCTTCGGTTGGATTGAAAAATGCTTGTACTCATTTTATACAGCTATCACAGCGGATGTCTTTTTTTGTCCTGTTGTCTGCTTTATTCAATTATTTTATTTATTCCATTTAAGCATATTTTTTTATACTATATTTTATTCTTTCTTATTTATATACAGTAATTTTTAATTAATTTTGTTTTTGTCTTTTTTTTCCGTCTAGCTTGGACTTAAATCAGGACGACTTTCAATTGTTATACGAAATCCAACAGAAAGCTTTTCAATTAGTGGTAGTACTTTACTCACCGGTGGTACTAATGACAAGCATTTATTAGGAACTGGTCTTCGTTAATACAAAATTTATCATATCTGGTCTTCTTCTTTATCTTTTTTTATACTCATTTTATTTCTAGTCAAAAATTCGAACAGTCATTGCTTCTTTTTTTTTTCTTTCTTTTGTCTTATATTTACATGTGTGTATGTGTGTTGGTGTGCATAATTTGCTCTTACTGCATATCTTGTACCTGTGTATTTTCATTAGTTGATTGTCATTCTTTTTAGTTATTCATTTATTATAACTATTGATAAATATATACATATATATATATATATACTTGCTTAGCGATACGCAAGATAGATTAACTAACTGTTGTTTAATTTCATACACTCCATGGGAATATATACAAAAAAATTTTATTTCACAATATATTAATACAAAAATAATTGATTAACTACTAGTACAGATTTCCCAACAGCACGTAGCTCGTGCCAACACTTTAATGTGAATAAACAAACACAGGAGGGTTCATTTAACAAATATTTTCTTTCTCAATTATTTCATACATTCTTCTTTGATATAATGTTAATCATCAGAAATATACGAAACTTGTTCGATTTTTGAACTGATACGTAAAAATAAATAATATAATTTCATTGCTAACACTATCTAAAAAAAACCTTTACTCCAAATGGAAAAAAAATTTTCTATTAAGATGTATAATTACTTGTCACTTCAATTCATAATTGCTCTCTGCTCAATGTTTTGATTGTATTCGATATGGCACACGTCATTGTTTTTCTTAACAATTAACACCTATATTCAAAACATAACATCATATCAACAAATAAGCTTTCTTTCTTTCTTAATATACATATGGATCAAAGATTGATATATTGAACTTCATTAATAATGCTGAGAAATTTTCGAAAAGAAAAATATCTTCTTCTCTTCTTCTCTTCTTGTAAATATTGAATATTTTATCTGTCACCATTTAACAGATAATTGTCAATGTTTACTTGATAAGAAAGTTAACTTTCCCTTCATCAATTAGTATTCATATATACAATCCCAGCATTGTGTTCTTCTCTATATAAATAGCTACTCTATTTAATTTCATAACATCATTAAAATGATAAATATTGATAAATCATCATTACTACTTCCAACTATTGATATGTTTCAATCTTATATTCCTCTAACATCTACACCAAAACGTTCAACTAAATCTTCGTATTCTCAACCATTATCATCAACATTATCAACATCACATAGTTCTTCCAAGCAAATGGATTTATCAATTTCAGCAATTACTTTAATTAAAAAATCATTAGTGCCTTGTAAAAAACGTCGTCATTCATATTTTCGACGACGACAAACTCATATCCATTCATCGACAATTAATAAACGTATTGAACTCAAACATTTATTATATTCAACACGAGCAATGAAATATCAAAATGATGATAAACAACATCATTATACAAAAAATGAATTGAAAATTTATATTGTATAAAACTATTTATTTTATTATTAATACCGTTATTTTCGAATAAAATTTTTTTTTGTATAAAAAACCTCTGAATATATGATAATGAAATTATTTCGAGAGAGAGTAATTAGTTTTGTAATATTAGACAAATATCTTCATATATGAAAGCTAACAAGATAATTCACGAGGGATATTATTTTTTAAAGATGTCTATTGAGAATTGATAATTACTATGAATTATTAACTACTTTCATTCATGTTACAATCAACTCTGTAACCTTACTGAATTTCGCATTACATACAATAAAATTTTCTGATTGCCTTTCCATTGGACTTTCGAAAGTACGCACATTAAAAAAAATGAAAATAAAAGCCTTTTACTTATACTTAATGTGCCATAAAACGTCTCAGTTACCTATCACAAATGGCGGATGATATTCTATTAATTTCATCTAAGCGTTTAGTTTATCTTTTAGTAACCTATATCATATTATTGTTTTGATGAAAATAATTTGATTTGACTCATATTGAAAATTGTGTAAGGTAGATATATTAAAGGTCGACGAAAAGCAATCGCTCTATTCATTTTTTTGTTTGATACTAAGATAATAATACAATGGCAATAATCAGTCGATTTTCAACTTTAACTACTTTATGTTTATTGATTTTAATTATTCAAACCAATGCTGGTAAAGCTACTGAAAAATGTAAATATATGATTTTTTTTCTATATTGAATTCTAAGATAATAAATTTGATGTTTATAGTCTTTATGGATAAAATGTGCGGTCAAGATCATTTAGTTCTTGATGGAGATAAAAGACCGGGCATTTCATTTCAATTAACAAACAGTAATAAATATAAATCTAACACAAATTGTACGGTGAAATTTCGAACTGCTCAACCAAGTCAACGAATAGTTATTACAGTAGAAAAAATGGATATTGCTGATTGTCCAAGTGATACATTACTTATCTATGATGGTACAACAGTACTTAATAAAAATGCAAATCAACAATGTGGTTCACCTGCATTCTTTACATTCACAGTATGTTTTTTTATTCGAATTTCAATTTAAGTTAGACTTTAATCTATTTTAGAGCTCAACAACACAAGTATCAATAACATTTCAAAGTAATTCAGCTGTAGAATCAAGTGGATTTCAAATGGCAATTGCACTTCATTTTCCTAGTATGTTCTAACTGATATATGTATAAAAGATCAATTGAATGAATTTCTTAATTTAGCGGTTCCTGCATGTCCTCAAAATCTTGGTTTTTATCAATGTAAAAATCGAAATTGTATTTCGAAACAATTGAAATGTGATGGACGGAATCATTGTGGTGATAGTACAGATGAAAATGAATGCAGTTTAATTTCTCATTAATAACAATTTTTATTTTTAACATCATTTTTTGTTTTTTTTGTAACAAAAAAAAAGCACGAAAAAATATAATTAGATGATGTTTGATATATATCATTTCGGTTGTTCACCGACATCAATTAAAAAATGAGTATAAAGATGATAAAAAGTTGTATTTAATAATTTATATTTCACATTATTAACACCATCGGAATCAATACGAATATGTGCTGTACGTAATACTTTCATACGAGCAGGATTTAATTTTTGATGAGTATGTTTTAACATTTTATAACGTGCAACAGATGCTGGTGGACGTTCAACTTTTAAATGTTTATTTATAATACGAGCATGCATATCATCATCTTCACCACCCCAACCCCAGTAATTTGTTGAGTAACCATTGACAAGCAGATAATGTTCACGGCGCATAGCTAAAGAAAAAAAGATTTTCTTCATTAAAAACAACTTTGTTAAACTTATTATAAGTAAGTCGCATGCTTTGGAAGTAAAGCCTTAGAGGAAATTATATCTTCAAAGAAAGTAATTAAAAGTACAACTTTTATATCCAAGGTTTCATTACACACAATGTGTTCTCAGATAACAACTATGTTTAATTATTAATATATAATTAGATATTTTTAAACTGATAAGCCTTAGAGAGATGTTTGCTGTTGTTTTTTTTTATTAGGAAAAGAAGATTATCTGCTCATTTCATTGTACTTTTATAATGTTGACTGAAAATTTTAATAATATATAATATCTCATTAAATAGAATATTTATTAAAATCACGTATATATAGTTGTCATGAAAGACAAACTAGTGAACGTGCATATAAGTAGAATTCCTTCCGCTTCCTGAAGCGACTATAGTTGGAAAACATAGATTAACATTTTTTATCCAATCAGTCACGAAACTATTTCCTCATATACTATTTACTGATATATCTTACCTAAAACACCTCCAACAAGTGTAGCATAGGGTAAATAAAAATGAAATTTATCAATAGCAACACTTAAATGACGTGGATATGTTGGACATGTATACATATTACGATCATCAATTGATAATAAATCAACATCATGCATAATAAAACAATGTACATTTGGTTGAAGTTTTAAAATTTCTTTAAAACATCCATTCATAACAATACCTTTATTAAATGTTTTATCAAATGCTTGTTCACATACATATATTCGATAATCTAATTGTTGTCGTTGTAAAATTTGATGTGTATGATAGAGAAAATGTGTTAAAATATCCCAACGATCACGATATGGTACAATAATTGCAACTTTATGACGAGCTAAACATGTTTTTGGCTGATAAGAACCACCAATATCAACATTAGTATAATAGGATGAATTTGTAGTAATAGAAAAATTTTTTGGTACTTCATTAACTTTTAATGGACCTTGAAGATCAGGTGGTACAGGTGGACAATAAGTTAATGATAGATTTCGAGTTTCTGCTATAGTTAAATAATTTTGAATAAATGAATGTAAAAATGTTTGATAAGTTTTTTCAAAATGATCATCTTTTTTTTTTTACAAATATTGCTTCAGATTTATTTAATGGAATATTTTGTTTCATAGATAATGACGATGGTGATGTTTGTGTATATTCAGAAATATTATTTGATAATGAACGTTGAACAATATAAATTACATTGAATATACTTGTAAGTAACATAAAACCAGTACATATAATACATAATAAATATATATGATCTTGTCGGCGACAATTAATCATATTTTTTTAATATTCTTATCACATGATTACAAAGTCATCTGTTAAAAAAATAATGAAAAGTATATTCGCAAGACTGGACAAATTACAAATGCCCTTTCTTTTCTTCTTCTTCTTCTTCTTCTTCTTCTTCTTTTTGTTATAATACGGATTGAAGAAAAAGCAAACTATAGATGCACACATACAAACGCATATAAAGAAACAATGAAATCGGTTTTCTTTCTCCGAGCGTTGACTATGGGTCCGATGCTGTTAAGCTAACATTTCTGTCTTAGCTCAATTTTTTTGTCGCATTTCTTTCTTCACACGACGATTCTGTGCGTGTCTAATTAAGTTTTTTTTTCTCTCCAAAGAAATATAGGAAAGAACGGGAATGTAACAAAAAAAAACAAAGTTAAAAAAAGAATCTCTTGACAAAAATCTTAATAATGCATAGAATTATACAAGTGAACATCTTATGTTCAATTGATA